GGAGGAGGAGGAGGAGGAGGAGGAGGATGAGGAGGAGGAGGAGCATGAGCATGATGAGCAGGAGGGGATGAGGAGGAGGATGAGGATGAGGATGACGAGGAATCAAGCCAAGTCAAGTCAAGTCACCCCGCTCGCACGAGGGCGGGCCCTTTAGGGCGCGAGGGAAAAAATGCATGCCAGTCACTGTTCGGGCGGGCGCGCACGGGAAGCACAGAGCCTGCTCACATGCAGAAGCCCAGGAAGTCTTCTGTCGTGTCCACCCACGCGGCGTATTCTCGTGCAGCGTCTTGCCACGCCCCGACGCGGTTCGCCTGGCAAAACGAGGAGAGCTTCGAGTCCCATGACAAGAGGTACGACTCGATGAGGAATCACAGTAGTAGTACTACTACTCATAAGACAATGAAGACTATTCGCAACAAGTTACATGGCAATACGAATCATATGGACAATCGTACTAATATGACTATCAAGAAGCATCATGCTAATGATCATACTAGTAAGAATAAGAAGAAACGGAGGCGGAGGAGGGGGAGGGTGTGTGGGTCGAGCAGGATGGAGGAACGGAGGGAGCAGGGGTCCAACTGCCAGCGCCCCTGAGAGGTGGGGAGCTGCCCTGAGGGGCGCGTCCTGGGAGAGGCCCGATGATCCACTATTCGTCGGGGTCTGGAGCGCCATGGAACCACGTCCTGAATCTGTTCCAGATGAAGGGGAGCTTGAAGAAGAAACAGCTGCGTGAACATTGGGTCCGCGCGGATTTCTGGAATCGGCGCTGGATCCCCCTCCCTGGCGCGCGGAGCGCGCCAGGGGCGGCGCCAGAGGCTTCGTCAGGGGATCCCTGCGCCGATCCAAGAAATCCGCGTGGAGCTCCGAAGGTGTTTATGAATTACTTTGTTTCTTCCTTCAGGAGCGGGTTCCCTCTGGCCATCACCTGTGCCATCGTGCCTGCAGGCGTGACGCTCTACCTGTCGTGGATCGACATGTACGGGGACGACGACATCCTCGTGGACAACACCGCCTGGGGCGGCTTCTCCTTCCTGGTGGGCTTCCTCGTCGTGTTCAGGACCTCGCAGGCCTACAACAGGCTCCTGGGGGCTCCAGGACCCATGCATGCTCGCGTCGTGACGAGAATCAGGACGGAAGGTTCTGTGCCTTTTCGGCCTTCTGGGGCCCTCGCCAGGCCTCGGGACCGACCAGAAACGGCCCGGGATGAAAAACTGGCCTTGGAGAAAGGGTCGGGACTTTGGGGGACTCCGCATGGAACAAAATCAAGACATCGCATGCCTGAGAATGTGGCCCCGAGGGATGGGGCCCAACGGGCAGGAAAGGGCCTCCAGGTTGAGTTTGCACTGTTCAGGGCCTCCCGCTCCGTGGGCCCATGCCTCGAGGCCCCATCCAGGGTCCACTTCGATCCGATCCATCCGATCCGATGTCTACCTCGGCTGGCCCGATCCGATTCGATTTCAATATTCTGACGGTCCGATGCGGACCGATGCTTGCGTGGCGCTGCTGTGCACCCTGGCGCGGACGACTCGATGCGATCTCGACTCCATGCCGACGTGGCCCGATCCGGCGCGCCTTCCGATTCGGTCCGATGTCCCGATTCGATGCTGACTGATCCAGCCGCATCTCTCGGGCCGGGTGTTCCTGAGGCCTCCTCCTCCTCCTCCTCTTCTCTCCCTCCTCCTCCTCCTCCTCCTCCTCCTCCTCCTCCTCCTCCTCCTCCTCCTCCTCCTCCATGGTGACTTCCAGTGCCCTGTGCTGTTGCCGCTCCTCCCTAATATCATTCCGTCGCTGCCGCCCGAGTTTGCCGAGTGGAATTCCATTGACCGTATTTACTGAGACCCCGAATGCCTAACGCGAGAACCTTGCACGGTGCCATTCTTTTGCATGACATTCCCCTCACCACATATAACACTGCGAGGGTGAAAGGCTTCTCTACCTGCCAGAGTCGAAGCCCTGATGAGGGCTCGTACACGCGCCATCAAACGAAGCTGAGCCCCCCTATGGAGCCTGACATCCTCCCTCCATGGTGAAACTTCGGGTTGCGCACTGACAGCCCCCTCAGGTAATCCCAGCTGGCCTCGAGAGGCCCCCTGAGTAGTCCTGGGCGGTCTCAACACCCCAATCCTGGGGCGCGGAGCGCCCCAGAAACGCCGCCGGAGGCGGCGCCAGGGTGTTTAGACCGCCGCCCCAGACTACTCGGGGGGCCTGTTGAGGCCAGCTGGGACCACTTAAGGGACTGTCAGTGGGCAGCTCGAAGCCTTTCTACGCCTCAATCTCCTCCGCCTCCTCCGCCTCCTCTTTGCTGCTGCTGCTGCTGCTGCTCCTCTTTCTCTTTCTCCTCCTCCTCCTCCTCCTCCTCCTCCTCCTCCTCCCTGCTGCTGCTGCTGCTCCTCCTCCTCCTGCTCATCCACTTCCCTGTTGCTGCTGCTGCTGCTGCTGCTGCTGCTGCTGGTCTCGCAACTCTTCAAACCTGTACGGAATCTAGAGCTCTAGAGACAGAAGGACGAATCAAGTATCGCATTCACGCTGTGCTATCTTTCTTGCCGTTGCTTCCTCCCCGCTTTTCTTCCTGGGCCTTCGCCGTCATGGAGTGCGGACCGTGAACTGGGATTCCTCCGCCTGCGTCGGCTTGGGCCTCGAATCTCGGGGCCATTGTAGGAGATCAAACATGAATAGCATGAAGCAGGCGATACAAGTATACGGGAGACACATGGCAATTGCTGCAAGCAAGTGGGCTACTCTGCACACTATCAGGAACGCGCTGATAACAAAGTACGATACGCTGCTTGTAGCACAGGTGCAGAAGGTTGCTAGACCATATTGAAAATCAAGAGTGACTTGAGCAACACTCAAGGGAGGGATGACACATTGAGGTGAGGCACAGATGCAGTCAGCTGCTGCTGCTGCTGCTCCTCCTCCTCCTTCTCCTCTTCCTCCTCCTCCTCCCTGCTGCTGCTGCTGCTGCTGCTGCTGCTGCTGCTCGTCGTCGTCCTCCTCCTCCTCCTGCTGACCGAGTGCGGACTGGTGCCGCTGGGTGGCGCGAGGTCTTGACAAGACAGCGGACGCCATGACCATCTACACCGTGAACACAAAGGCGAACCACACCACGGCAAGCTTCACCACCCAACACGCCCTGGAACGAGCTCGTCTCCAAGTCACCCAGACCCTAAATATACGAAAATATTTGAACGGAGGCCAGAGAGGTGCTCACGTGGCGGGCACTGGATACTACATGGAAGCGTGGTAGGAGGAGGCCGAGTGGGCCACGGTAGCAGCATGAGGGACGTGGCTTCCGGGAATGACGGCGGTGAGGACAGAAGTAGAAGCCATAGTGAGGGCGTCGCGAGCGTGTGTACGATAGCAAACCACACTGTTGACTTGTTGCAGCAATCTCGAAAGCTGAAGCTGTTGCACTCGGGAGCATAGGGTGGCAAGTGTCAAGTATCCTCCACGACCTGCCTCCTCCCTGCTACTGCTGCTCCTGTTCCTCCTCCACCTTCCTTCTCCACGTTCCTCCTCCACGTTCCTCCTCCACGTCCTCCTCCTCCTCCTCCTCCTCCTCCTCCTCCTCCTCCTCCACGTCTCTCGGCACCACCCTTGTGGTGCCGAAGAGGTTCTGGGACGGCTGCACCTTCATGCACCGGCTGCAGGCCGAGTGGCTCGACGCCTGCAGCGCCACGATCGCGTTCACCAGGCACTCCCGGGTCGACCCCAAGATCGTGAAGGAGATTGGGGGCCAGGAAGACATCGACTACAGTCAAGATGCTGAAATAAGGACCGCTCTGGGCTCAGGAAGGGCTGTGGATGTCGGGCCGTTGTAGAACTTATACTCGTGGCCGAGGCTCGCCGTGGCCAGAAAAGCCTAGAGCGCGGACTGTACAATGTTGTGCTTGTCCAGCACTTGATTGCTCATGGCGGCCCAAACGCAGTGTCTATTTTTTCAACACCTGTCGCCCAGAGAACCGGCCGGAAACTTGTGCACTACACGTTGTCCTGTGGCGTTTCTGCGAAGCCCCATGGGACAGGGCCCAGACATTTTAGTGCACACACGCAGTTCCCAGGAGTCCTCAAGCCAGACCCTTTCGCGTTGTGAAAAAGTCACGCCGGGATTTTTTTCGCCATTTTCAGCCTTTTCGGGGTCCTTACTGGCCCGCAGGGCCGTCGAACAGCGGCTCGGAATGAAAAGCTGGTCCCTTGGAAGCGTTCCAGACCTTTAGGCGTCCACGTCATGATAAAAGCTACGTCGCTGGGGTCTGGGGGATCGCCCCTCCTCCTCCTCCTTCTCCTCCTCCTCCTACTTCCTTCCGCTCCGCGCCCGCAGGCTTGTTTGAAAGCTTTTGGATTTGAGGAGCGGTCGCAAGCCGAAGCCCTGCGGTCCAGAGTTTTGCCTGCCAGAGCCGAAGCCGTGTCCAGGAGGGCTCGGCAGGTGGAGGCCGCCGAAGACGGCGGCGAAGCGTTGAGGAGTGGGGTCGCCCTGTCGGCGGCTCGCCGTGAGGGGTGGAACCTCACCGCGGGAGGAGGAGGAGGAGGAGGAGGAGGAGGAGGAGGAGGAGGAGGAGGAGGAGGAGGAGAGGAGGCGGAGAGGAGGCAGGAGGAGGAGGAGGAGGAGGAGGAGGAGGAGGAGGAAGGAGGAGGAGGAGGAAAGGGAGGAGGAGGAGGAGGGGAGGCGGAGGAGGAGGAGGAGGAGGAGGAGGAGGAGGAGGAGGAGGAGGAGGAGGAGAGTGAGGAGGAGGAGGAGGAGGAGGAGGCAGGACGAGGAGGAGGAGGAGAGGAGGAGGAGGAGGAGGAGGAGACAGGAGGAGGAGGAGGAGGAGGAGGAGGACGAGCAGGAGGTCGGGGAGGATGTCGGGGAGGAGGTGGACTCTCAGGAGGCCATGCTGGGGCACGGGGGGTGACAGAGATCCCTTCGGATGGGCGACCCCACCCTAGTTTTCCTCTTCCGTGGGCAGTGAACCTCCCCATCCGCACCTCCTCCCTCCAGACCCAGGGTCGCGGGTGGCTCTTCCCTCTGCGGCAATGGCTGGGCGGCAGGCGCGGCAAGATCTCGTCCGCGTCATCCAAGCTCTCAGAGCTTCTTCCCTCCCTCCCTCCCTCCCTCCTCTCCCTCCCTCCCTCCCTCCCTCCCCCTCCCTCTTCCATCCTCTTTCCTCCTCGTTTCCCCCCTCCTCATATGGAGAAACCCAGAGATACTGACACCGCCACTCCCTGGACCTCCTCCTAGGGTGCGTTCCGACCAAAGCTTCGAGGCGAATCCAGCTGTGGCCAAGAGGCCTCCCGGGAGGCCCGAGAAGGCGATGACGAGGCACGTGTGGTGGTATCGGTACCTCGTCCTCCTCCGCTTTCCTCCTTTTCCTCCTCCTCCTCCTCCTCCTCGTCCTCGTCCTCCCTCTTCCTCCTCCGTCCTCCCTCCTCTCCCTCCTCCCCTGGGGGGGGTGCCTGACAGCACCTGGCGGAGGACTTCAAGCACCTCACGGTGCGTCTGTTCAGCCTCCTGCACATGTTCGCGCTGGCCTACATCGAGGGGTGCGAGGAGCTCGAGGACGTGGCCGCGCACGACCTGGAGCTGATAGACCCAGACGGCATCGACGAGGATCAGAGGATGAACATAGACCTGTACCCCGACTCTTCCCCAGACCCCATCGCGTCGCGGAACAGCCACGATCTGGGGGCCCTTACCCGGCTTCGGGACCGTCGAAGACGATTCGGGCTGAAAAGCGGGTCCCTGGGAAGGGGGTCCTGATTTCATTGGGGTCCACGTCATGAGAAGGTCACGACGCCGAGGGTCTGGGTCCTTCGTTTTGGTTGGTTTTGGTTGGCTTCCTGGGACCCGCCACAGCTGGATTCGCCTCGAAATTCTGGTCACACCCTGGGAGCAGCGGTATCGATATCTTTCGGTCTCCCCAAGAGGACACGTGGAACTACGTCAGGCAGTGCAGGAGCTCGGCCGGCCGCGTCACGCTGGTCTTCGAGTGGCTGCAGTGCGTCATCGTGGAGCTCGGAGAAGAACAGAAGTCATGAGCTGACTACTAGCGCCCATACCTGTGCGACCCCCAGATTTCTTGGGGTGGAATTCGGGGGGGGGGGGGAGGGCCACAGATGTATGTTGCTGGCTAGGGGTCCCCGCTGGAACGGGACCCCCCCTCGGGGTCTGACCACTAGCACCCATACCTGTAGCACCTTCACCGCCCTGCCCCCATTCCATTCCTCCTCCCGTGTCGTTCCTTCGTCAAGAAAGTCATAAGCATACACTTGCGGACCATCGACCGTTTATCTTTATGCAGCTGTGACTTGTTCCAGGAGAACATCAAGACGGGCGTGCTGGACATCCCGCCTCCGATCTTGAGCCGCGTGTTCCAGCAGCTGGCGAACGGCATGGTCGCCCTCCACGACGCCCACAAGATCTCCTCGATCCCGTTCCCGTTCCCGTACGCGCAGACGTGCGACGCGATGCTTGTGATGCACCTCTGCGTCACGCCGTTCGTGACCTCCTCGAAGATGTCAGACCCCTGGTGGGCGTGCCTCCTGGCGTTCATCCAGGTGTTCATCCTGTGGTCCCTTAACTACATCGCAGTGGAGATCGAGCATCCCTTTGGCGGCGACCCTAACGACATTGACTCTACAGGGCTGCAGCTGGACATGAATTTCAACCTGCTAATCCTCCTGCACCCTGCCTGCGAGCGGACCCCGACGCTCTCCTCCAGGGCCAAGATCCACGGCTTGGTCAAGTTGGGCCGTGGTGCCTCCCAGGGCCTGGATGCTGGCATGAGGACGTACAACCAGGTCCTGAGCAAGGAGTTTGTAGACGCGGACGAGCTCCAGCCTGGAGAGTCCTCTCCCAGGGCGAGCGCGGCGAGCGCGTCGTCGCCATCCAAGGGTCGGCAGAGCGTTGACCGCTCGCCCGCGGAGACCTCCCACAACGGGCACCAGAGATCGTCGAAGATCATGGCCCCGTCCTTCGACGACTTCTGGAACGCCGAGCCGCGGGACGGCCCCGAGAGGCCGCCCCCGAGAGGCGACGACGCCCCCTGCGACCCGGGGCAGCGGCACGGCAGCGGCAGGCCACCTGTGGCCCCGCAGGCACCGGGGAGCCAGGCCCTGCAGTGACTCGGGCGGGTGGTGATGGGGGGGGGGTGGCTCTCAAGTGGAGGGTGAAGCAAAAGGGTCTGAATGGGGCCCTCTAGGGCCCCTTTCGTAGCCAGCGGGGGCTCCAAAAGGGGCCCCAGAGGGCCCCTCTGGGGCCTTCTTCTTCACCTCCCGTTGAGGTCACCCCCCAATGCAACACGCCCGAGTGGTTCTCAATAGCGCTGGGGGCGTTTTTGTTTGCTATGGGTTTCCAGTATGAACCCATCGAACAGGCACAACAGCTAGCATTCCCTTTTGAAGCTGGAAGGTTGCGTTGCGTTGCGTTGCGCCGGGGGGGGACGGGGCCCCAATCTGGGTGTTCACCCCATTGGACAACACATGGACAGCGGCCCCACAACACCAGAGCTGGATGGGCCCCAGTCCGGGTGTCATCCTTGAATTTTCGTTCTTGAAGAGTAGTTATTGTTGATCCCCCCACTGGTGCACATGGTATTTTACCGATTAAAGTGCCACCCTCGGGGCTCGCACCCTATTCTTTATTGAAGAAAGTCTTTACGCTTAAACTGTGCCCTGGCCCCCCGGCTACAACAACAACGGCTCCCGCCTGATACTTTCTCACAGTGAATTCCGAAATCGCGCTCTCGTGCGGGATTTCCTCGCAATTTATGCAGGGATCGCGCTCTCGCGTGAATTTCTACGCAATTTATTCAGACACCGCGCTCTCGACACTCAGGAATCACGCTCACGCCTTGGCCTTTAGAATGATTTACTTGGGAATCTCGCTGTCGCTAGAGACTCCCTCACGATTTATGCAGGGCTCGCGCTTCAGCAACCCGCCTGCTCGGCCTGGCCGCCTGGGCCCGCCATCCGACCCGCCCGCTAGGTTCTGCCCCGCACGATTCTACCACGTGTTTTCTGCTAGCCCCCCTCCTGCTAATTTCTCTCGAGCTCCATCCTTCTCCCCCTTCCATCCGTCCTCTCTTCCCTTGTTGTAGGGGCTGTGCTAGATGTACGTGGCAGGTAAGGAATATATACCCGCAAGGGGGTAGGATCGAAGGCGACTAGGGCGGGTATCGAGGGTTTGGGATATACGTGTTGACGGGCACGCGAGCAGATGGGAGCGAACAGTTTTTGAAACGATTTTTCAGTTTTCACTTCTGAAATAATTATTGTTGATCCCCCCCGTCCTGCAGCCATTGTATTTTTCAATTGAAGTGCCGCTCCTATGGCCGGTGCCCTGTTTTTAATAAGGGAAAGTGTAGTGTCACGAAACTGCGCTCTCGCGCTCTCGCGCGGGACTTCCCCAGAATTGATGCAGGAATCGCGCTCTCCCGTGGGACTTAACTCGCAATTGATTCAGACGCCGCGTCCTCGACACTCAGGCATCATGCTGTCGCTTTGGCTTTTCTCGCCATTTGACTTGGCAATCGCGCTATCGCTCGAGACTTCCTCGCGAGTCATGCAGGACTCACGCTTCAGCAACCCGCCTGCTCGACCTGGCCGCCTGGGCCCACCTTCCCGACCCGCCCGCTATGGATCTGCCCGCCCGATCTGCCCGTCTGGTTCTACCAAGTGTTTTCTGCTCCTAGCCCCCCTCCTGCTATTTTCTCTCGTGCTCGATCCTGCTCCCTCCCCCTTCCATCCGTCCTCTCGTCCCTTGTTTTACGGGCTGCACCAAATTCACGTGGCAGGTAAGGAAGATATGCCTCAATGGGGGTATGATCGAAGACGAAGAGGGCGGGTATCGAAGGTTTTGGATATACGTCTTGACTGGCACGCGAGCAGAATGGAGCGAACAGTCTCAAAATGAGTGTTGTTGTTGTTGGTGGTGAACCCTCGTTCTTGAATACTTTCCCAGGTCCAATGGAAGGTGGTTCTTGTTATTATTCCGACCGCGCCGACTCTTCCTCACACATCTTGCCCCTCCTCCTCTTTCCCACTCAGAGTTGTTCACATTCAGTGTCACACTCAGAGTCACTACTCAGATTATGATGATGGTAGTGATGTCGATGATGATGGTGAAGAGGATGTTGCAGATGATGGTGATGGTGAGGATGATGATGATAATGATGATGGTGACGATATTGAGGACGATGATGTTGATGTTGAAGATGATGGTGATGCTGCTGCTGATGATGGTGGTGAAGCTGATGATGAGGATGATGATGACGATTCTGATGATGATGATTTTGATACTAGTGATGCTGATGCAGAAAACTATGATGATGCTGATGATGCTAATGCTACGGGTGAAGGTGCTGTTGTGGATGGAGATGCTGATGATGGTGGTGTCACATGCTCATGCTGATGATGCTGATGATGATAATGGTGATGATGACGATGATGATGCAGATGTTGATGATGCTGATGCTGCTACTGATGATGATGCTGCTGACGATGATGATGATGATGATGATGATGATGATGATGATGATGATGATGTTGATGACGCGGATGCTGTTGAAGTCGTTGTTGATGATAATGACGCTGCTGCTGACGATGATGCTGCATATGATTCTGAGGATGATCATGTTCCTGATGATGATGATGATGATGATGATGATGATGATGATGATGCTGCTGCGGATTCTGATGACGATGATGATGCTGCCAATGATGATGCTGATGATGACGATGATGCTGATGCTGCTGATGATGATGATGATGATGATGATGATGCTGATTCTGATGCTGCTGATGATGATGCTGATGATTATGATGATGATGGTGCTGCTGCTGACGATCATGCTGATGCTGATGCTGCTGCTGCTGCTGATGATGATGCTGCTGCTGCTGAGGATGATGATGATGATGATGATGATGATGATGATGATGATGAGGATGAGGATGATGATGATGATGATGATGATGATGATGATGATGATGATGATGATGATGATGATGATGATGATGATGATGATGATGATGACGGAACATATTTTGAGAATGTCTCGGGCGAGGCGCTCATTTCAGCACACCCAGGGGGGGGGGCACCAGGGGGTATTGCACGGGCCCGTTCTCGCCCAGATTGCGGGGATGTCTCGAGCGGTTTACCTGTTTCATCACCCGGCATCCTCCGCTTTCGGAGCAGATTTTGAGGATTTCTCGAGCGAGGCGTTGGTTTTCGCACACCTAAGGGGTGGGGGGTGGGGGCGCCAGGGGGTATTGCACGGGCCCGTCCGTGCCCAGATTGCGGGGATGTCTCAGGCGGTTTGCCTGTTTCACCACCCGACGTCCTCAGCTTTCGGGGCAGATTTTGAGGATGACTCGAGCGAGGCGCTGGTGTGCGCAGCCACAAGGGGAGCCGCCAGGGGGCATCTCATTCTTCCGTTCGTGCCCACATTGCGGGAACGTCTCGAGCGGTTTGCATGCTTGCGTGCTCAGCATCCTCGGCTTTCGGAGCAGATCTTGAGGATGTCTCGGGCGAGGCGCTGGTCTTCGCACCCCAGGAGGCCCATATCGCGAGGATGTTTAGGGCGGTTTGCTAGATTCGTTTGCGTTCAGGGCAGATTCTGAGCATGTCTCGGGTGAGGCGCTGGTTTCAGCAACCCAAGGTGCCCAGTTTGCGAGGATGTCTCAGACTCACTTATGCTCAAACTCACTCGTGCTCAGACTCACTCGTACTCAGACCCGTACTCATCATGTTCATACTCATACTCGCTCGCAGTCAGACTTACCCACATCCAGACTCTTTTACACTTAGAGCCACCCACCATCAGACTCACTCGTAGTCAGACCCACTCGTACTCAGACCCACTCAGATTTAGATTCATGTCCATCGTACGCATACTCAGACTTACTCACACTCAGAATTATTCAAACTCAGACCAACCACCCACCTTCATATTCACTCGTAGTCAGACTCACTCGTACTCGGACTCATTCAGACTCAGACTCGTACTCAGTATCCTCATACTCAGACCCAGTCAGACCCAGACTTGCCCACACTCGGACTCACTCTCACTCAGACTGGCTCATACTCAAACTTACGCATTCTTAGACTCACTCGTACTCAGACTCTCTCAAACCTGGACTAACTCACACTCGCTCTCAACCACACCAGGGTTCACTCACATTCAGACCCACTCACACCCAGATCAGTCATGCTCATATTCATTCAGTCATCTCTCTTTTGGTGGTCCAATGCCCCCCTCGCTCTTCCACTTGTGCTTCCTTCGTCTCTCCTAGAAGATGCCCAGAGAAGGAGGACGTCACTGAAGTCGTCGCTGTCGCCGTTGTCGTTGTCGCGCCCGTCGTCCACGTTGACTCGTTCTCACACCCAGGTGCTTACAGGCCGAGTTCTTCAGCGAGACGTGACAGGAGTATGAGAGTATGAGATGCACATATGGTGAGCTCCGCGCAGTGGATAGTTGTTGTAGATCCCCCCGCCGGTGCACACTGTATTTTTCAATTGAAGTTCCCCCCTAGGGGCTCGCACCCGGTTTTTTATCAGGGAAAGTCCTCATGCTCAGACTGTCCCTTGGTCCCCGGGCTACAACAACAACGGCTCCCGCCTGATATTTTTTCACAATGTATTCCGAAATCGCGCTCTCCTGCGGGAGTGCCTCACAATTTGTGCAGGAATCGCGCTTTCGCGTGTTTTTTATTTTTTTTTTTCCTTGCCCCCCAACTTATTCAGACGCTGCGCTCTCGATACCCAGCAGTTACGCTCTCGCTTTGGCCTTTCTCACGATTTACTTGGAAATCGCACTATCGCTCGAGACTTCCTCGCGGTGCATGCAGGACTCACGCTTCAGCAACCCGCCTGCGTGACCTGGCCGCGTGGGCCCGCATTCCCGACCCGCCCGCTAGGGTCTGCCCGCCCAATCTGACCGTCTGGTTCTACCACGTGTTTTCTGCTCCTAGCCCCCTTCCTGCTAATTTCCCTCTCCTCTCTTCCCTTGTTTTAAGGGCTGCACTAAGTGCACGCCGCAGGTGAGGAAGAGATACCTCCGAGGGGGTACGATTGAAGACGAGGAAGGCGGGTACCGAGGGTTTGGGACTTTCGCGTCGACTGGCACGCAAAGAGATAGGAGCGATCAGTCCCAAAACGATTGTTGTTGTCGTCGTCGTCGTTGTTGCTGTTGTTGTTGTCGTCGTCGTTGTTGTGTCGTTGCTGCCTTTCTGTTGTTGTTGTTGTTGTTGTTGTTGTAGTTGTTGTTGTTGTTGTTGTTGTTGTTGTTGTTGTTGTTGTTGTTGTTGTTGTTGTTGTCGTCGTCGTCGTCGTCGTCGTCGTCGTCGTCGTCGTCGTCGTCGTCGTCGTCGTCGTCGTCGTTTTTTTGTTTTTTTGTTTTGTTTTTTTTTTTTTCCCCCCCCCCACTGCCGCTATTGATCCGACAAGGCGCGATAGCTCCAGAAAGTAGGCGTCCGGCGGGCTACGCCGTGATATCTAAGAGCGTATCAAGTTTGCACTGGCAGCTGGAGAAAAGCACGGGCACGCGGGCCACTGGCATCTCCTGGACATGGAGACGTAAACAAATTTGCGCCCAACACGTAGAAACAACCTCCACCTCCCAAACAGGGGGGAAAAACGCCCTCAGCGTCTTCAAGAACGGAGGGACGCCAACAATACACCACCACCAGCCCTGGCCAGGTCCATCCTGGGCCCTGGACTGGTGTATAGACCTCCAGGCCTAGGCCATAAGGGCCTGCACACCAGTCCAGGGCCCAGGATGGGCCTGGCCAGGGCTGGTGGTGGTGTGTTGCTCGAAGCTCTCCTGCATCTGAGGCCCCGCCGGTGCGGCTGATGTCTGGGCCGAGGCTCGAAGACCCAGAAATGGCAGAAGCATAAAGCTTCCGGAGGTCCGCGCCAGGATTTCTTGGATCGGCGCCGGGGCCACCCCTAGCGGCGCCTTCGGCGCCGCCCACTGCACGCTCCGCGCGCCAAGGATGGGGGTTCCAGCGCTGATCCGAGAAATCCGCGCGGAGCTCCAAGCTTGTTCTTCAGTACAGGTTTTTGTTTCTCCAGAGGTTGAGCGGGATGGCGATCGGCTCGGCCGCGCAGTCGCAGGACGCCGCCGTCGTCGTCGTCGTCGTCCTCGTCGTCGTCTTCGTCATCGTCGCCGTCGCCGTCGCCGTCGCCGTCGCTGTCGTCGTCGTCGTCGTCGTCGCCGTCGTCGTCGCCGTCGTCGCCGTCGCCGTTGTCGCCGTCGTTGTCGCCGTCGTCTTCGTCGTCGTCGTCGCCGTCGCCGTCGTCGTCGTCGTCGTCGTCGTCGTCGTCGTCATTCTCGTCGTCGGCGGTCGGCTCGGCCGCCCCGTCGCAGGCCGCGTCCTCTCCGGCCGTGTCCGCGCGCTCCACCAGGGCCGAGCACGGGACGCTCCGCCTGGACTCTGGCGTCGGGGTCGCGCCCTCGTGCTACCGGATGCAGGCCTGGACGAAGAACTGCCCCCCTGGGAAGGTGTCGGGACTTGGGCCGCGCATCTCGAAAAAGCATATCGTCGGATGGCGGGGGCAGGGTCCTCGATCCTCGATCTTCGGACCCCGACCCTGGATCCTCGATCGATACTCGATCCTCGGTCCTCGATTCTCGATCGATCCATGCCTGGGCCTTGAGGACGGGGAAGGAATCTCAAGCTGAATCCCAAGAGCTTAAAGTGCATAAACATAAGTTTTCCGAGTCCCGCGCGGATTTCTTAGGTCTGCGCTGGACCCCCCTGGTGGCGCCTCTGGCGCTGCCCCTGGCGCGCGGTGCGCGCTAGGAAGGGGGTCCAGCTCAGATCCAAGTTTATGTCTGTGCCGTTTTACATTTCTCTACATCTGGTGCCCCAAGGGAGGAGGCCCGAAGGACAGGAAAAGATCTCAAGCTCAACCTTCACTGTTTGAGGCAACTCGTCTGTGGGGCCCTATTCCCGAGGTCAGGATGCAACTCCTGGGAGTTCAAATTCAGCGTCGGCGCTGATGTATCCGTGGCGAAACCAGCCAATCTGGCACATTCCCGTTTAATTTCGCCCAATCGCATTCAGGTCGGCTTAATCTGGCTCAATCCTGGGCTTCATCTGGGCTGAACCGGCTCAATGCCCCCCTGATCGGGCTTAGTAGCCCGTGATCGTTCTCACGCAGTACTTCCAGAAGTGGCCTTCCAACCGAGGGATGAGGCCCTACAGGCAGGAATGATATCACAAACTTAACCTTCACTATTTGAGGCCACTCGTCCTGAGGGCCTCGTCCCCCAGGGCCACTTCCCTAAGATCCGACGTTGCGGAAAAAAGTTCAGCATCGCGAAAAACCGCAACCAGAGCCCTAGCCCTTATCGTCCTGCGGCTTTTTCGAACCGGATCGATCCGTGAGGGCCGCCTGTTGTGAAAAAAGTTGCGACGCCAGGATCTCAGGGTCCTTGAGCCACCGAGCAGGGAGACCACGACCCGGAGCCGCAGTCGCCTCCACAGGCGGACCTGCAGGCCCTGGTCCCGTGCGGGAGTTCCGACGGGTCGGGCGCCTCGGCGCCGGCGCCGACCATGCCGAGGCTGCAGCTGCAGTCGGTCGCCGCCCACGTGGAGCTGCGGGATCAAATCATCTTGGCGAAGGACTCAACCGTATGCAGTTGTGTGGGCACCGTTTTCGGTGGAGCTCCCTTTGGGGCCGCGAAGCGTGTGAGGGGTGTCGAAATTGGGCGGGGCCGCCATGCGAACTCTGCCACTGGGGCCTCTGGTGGAGCTCTCTAGGGGGCCACGAAGCTTGTGAGGGGCGTGCCAAAGTGGGACGGGGCCGCCATGCGAACCCTGCCACTGGGGCCTTTGGTGGAGCTCCCTACGGGGCCGCGAAAAGTGTCAGGGGTGCGCCGAACTAAGACGGGGCCGCCATGCGAGCCCTGTCACTGGGGCCTTCGGTGGAGCTCCCAACGTGAGAGGGGTGCGCCGAAATAGGGCGGGGCCGCCATGCGAATCCTGCAACTGGGGCCTTTGATGGAGCTCCCTATCGGGGCCACGAAACATGCGAGGTGTGCGCCGAACTGAGACAGGGCCTCCATACGAACCCTGCCACTGGGGCCTTCGGTGAAGCTCCCAACGTGTGACGGGTGTGCCAACATGCGGCGGCGCAGCCATGCGAATTCTGCCACTGGGGCCTTCTGTGGAGCTCCCTAGGGGGCCACGAAACGCGTGAGGGGTGCGCCGAAATCGGCCGCCATGCGACCCCGGCCACTGGGGCCTTCAGTGGAGCTCCCTAGGAGGCCACGAAACTTGTGAGGATGCGCCAGAATAAGTCGGGGCCGCCGTGCGAACCCTGCCATTGGGGCCTCTGGTGGAGCTCCCAACGCGTGAGTGCGCCGAAATTTTGGGGGCCGCCATGCGAACCCTGGCACTGAGGCCTTCAGTGGAGCTCCCCATCGGGGACGAAGCGTGTGAGAGGTGCGTCGAAATAAGGCGGGGCCCCCATACGAACCCTGCCACTGGGGCCTTCGAGGGAGCTCCGTATGGGACCACGAAGCGTGTGAGGCGCGCGCCGAACTAAGATGGGGCCGCCATGCGAACCCGGCCACTGGGGCCTTCGGTGGAGCTCCGTATGGGGCCACGAAGCGTGTGAGCGTGCGCCGAAATAGGGCGGGGCCGCCATGCGAACCCTGCCACTGGGGCCTTCGGTGGAGCTCTCTACGGGGCCACGACGCGTGTGAGGGGTGTGCCGAAATTGGGCGGGGCCGCCATACGAACTCTGCCACTTGGGCCTTCGGTGGAGAGATCCCTTTGGGGCCAAAAAGCGTGTGAGGGGTGTGCGGAAATGGGTGGGGCCGCCACGCGAACCCTGCCACTGGGGCCTTTGGTGGAGCTCCCTACGGGGCCACGACGCGTGTGAGGGGTGCGCCGAAATGGGGCGGGGCCGCCATGCGAACCCTGCCGCTGGGGCCGTTGGTGGAGCTCCCTGAGGGGCCACGACACGTGTGCGGGGTGCGCCGAAATGGGGCGGGCCGCCATGCGAACCCTGCAACTGGGGCCTTTGGTGGAGCTCCCTAAGGGGCCACGACGCGTGTGAGGGGTGTGCCGAAATTGGGCGGGGCCGCCATGCGAACTCTGCCACTGGGCCTTCGGTGGAGATCCCTTGTGTGACGGGTGTGCGGAAATTGGGCGGGGCCGCTATGCGAACCTTGCCACTGGGGCCTTCGGTGGAGCTCTTCATGGGGCCACGAAACGTGAGAGGGGTGCGCCGAAATAGGGCGGGTCCGCCATGCGAGCCCTGCTTCTGGGGCCTTCGGTGGAGCTCCCTAAGGGGCCACGACGCGTGTGAGGGGTGCGCCGAAAGTAGGCGGGGCCGCCATGCGAGCCCTGCCACCAGGGCCTTCAGTGGAGCTCCCTAGGGGGCCACGAAGCGTGTGAGGGGTGCGCCGAACTAAGGCAGGGCCGCCATGCGAGCCCTGCCACTGGGGCCTTCGGTGGAGCTCCCTCATGGGGCCACGGAACGTGTGAGGGGTGTGCCGAGATGGACGTGTGGAAGATGGCAGAGGCTGGGATGGGGAGGAGGGAGGTGGGACCAGGGGGAGGATGGGGTGGAGGATGGAAGGAAGGATGGAGTCGCGGCGCGCTGGTGATTCAGAGCGAGGACCCGGCACCAGAGAGGGCCTGGTCAGCGTTCGGGTCGGCCGAGTGCTTGCAGGTGATGCCTGGGAGGCCCAGGTGCTGACTGGACTCCGCGTGCCCCTGAGGCGGCAGTCCCCCTGCCGACTGGTGAGGTCAGTGCTCTGGCCGCGCCGGTGGCACTCGAGGAAAGCCCCTTGGAGCCCCGCGCCGACCTGGCTGTCTTTCCGATCCCCAGGAGTCGTCGCCGTGGAGCTTTCACCACCAAACGGAGACCATATCGCGTGGGTCCTCGGTCGTCAGCAAGGACTGGATCCGGCAAGGGGGCGGAGGTGGCCCGGCACTGGCTCTGACCAGCAAGAGGGGGAGAGAATGGGCCCCCCGTCGTCGCCACGGCCGGGCGCAGCTCGAGGACCTGGTCCGCTTCGACCCCGGGAGGAGCAGGAGCCGAGTTTGAGCGGGTTTGCCCCCCCTTCTTGACCGCTCCTCTCGGGGCCCGTCCAGCGCATACCCCCGGGACTTGAGAAAACCCCCTCAGCGCCAGAGCTCCGCGTGGATTCCCCGGGATCGGCGCTGGGCCCTCCTGGCGCCAGGAAGGGGGTGCAGCGCCGATCCAGGAAGTCCGCGCGGGCCTGCGGAAGTTGATGCTCATGTCACGTTGGCTTCCTCTGAGGACGTGACCTTGCCCTTGCCCTGAGGGGCCCCTGCCCAGATAGCAGGCCGCGGGGCCGGCGATCCGAGGCTCGAAGAGCCTCGCTGTGCGCCGGAGGCGCGTCCACTGTGAGGTGCGGCCGCCTTGTCCGCCCCTGGCCTCTGTGCAGGCAACTGTAGTTGCGTCAAACGCATGGTCGGCTTCAGGTCGCCGCGGTCGCCTCCTCCTTGTCCCTTTCTGCCTGCGAGGGCTGCCGGCCGCAGCTTTTATCCCCCGTGCCCTCTCCGATTCCAACCCCCCGTCTCTGCACGTCCTGCTCTTCTCTCCTCCTCCTCCTCCTCCTCCTCCTCCTCCTCCTCCTCCTCCTCCTCCTCCTCCTCCTGCCCTCTCTGCTCTCTGTTCCGCCGCTCTCTCTCTCTCTCTCTCTCTACATCGCTGGCCCGTTCCCTACCTCCGCCCTTGCCCCTGCCCCTGCCCCCCCCCCCCTCCCTGCCCGCCCCTACTCCCCTCCCCTGCCCCGATCTCAGCTGCCCTGACACGCTCGTGTTGAATCGCAGCACGTCTCGTGCTCCAAACGTCCGTGCTAACACGCTGCGTATCGGCTCGACGTGTTGGCCAATTTTGGTTGGCCAACGTTTCGCGCCAAACGTACGTTTTCAATCTACGTGTTGAGCTCCGTGTCAACACGCTACGGGTTGCGTGTTGCGTTTCGGGGCGGCTGAGGAGCCGATCCCTCCGCCCCTGCACAATTACGCAACATAAATACTACCCTCCTCTCTCCCCTGATGACGTCCGGAAGATATTCGGCCCCCTCTCCGCGTTTTTTACATAGGATTCCCGGGAGTTGGGTTTTCGCGGGTTTTTGTTTCAAAATGCTGCTCCCGCTGAAGCGCTGGCCTCATTTTCGGGGCTTCCGCTCGTTCTGAACAGTGCTCCCGCTGAAGCGCTGACATCATTTCCGCGCTTCCGCTCTTTCCGAATCGTACTCCCGCTGCAGTGCTGGCCTCGTTTCCGCGCTTCCGCTCGTTCCGAATCGTGCTCCCGCTGCAGCGCTGGCGTTTTTATCCGTAAGGGCTTCGCCCCCTGCCGCCGGCCCCCTCTCTCGGAGAATGGGCCATGGAAGAGCTAAGTCATGAGGCCTTGGCGCTGTCGTGCAGCAGTATCGGAACTTCATGCGAGGCCGATTCGCAATCGGCAAAACCAACTGATCACAAGAGGGGTTACCACACAGGGCGATTGGTAAGACGTGTATGGTTTACGAGCTTGGTTACCACACCTTGGGATTAAAGGGCCGAGGGAGTACTCGCAGTTTGGGTTACCACGCCTTGCGATGGATGTGCGTGAGGGGTGGCACCGAATTTCAGAAATGTGGCAAATCCCCTGTGTTTTTGGACCCTGACCCCGCGGATCTGCGTGAGGGGTGGCACCGAATTTCAGAAATGTGGCAAATCCAATGTGTTTTTGGACCCTGACCCCGCGGATCTGCGTGAGGGGTGGCACCGAATTTCAGAAATGTGGCAAATCCCTGTGTTTTTGGACCCTGACCCCGCGGATCTGCGTGAGGGGTGGCACCGAATTTCAGAAATGTGGCAAATCCCCTGTGTTTTTGGACCCTGACCCCGCGGATCTGCGTGAGGGGTGGCACCGAATTTCAGAAATGTGGCAAATCCCATGTGTTTTTGGACCCTGACCCCGCGGATCTGCGTGAGGGGTGGCACCGAATTTCAGAAATGTGGCAAATCCCATGTGTTTTTGGACCCTGACCCCGCGGATCTGCGTGAGGGGTGGCACCGAATTTCAGAAATGTGGCAAATCCCATGTGTTTTTGGACCCTGACCCCGCGGATCTGCGTGAGGGGTGGCACCGAATTTCAGAAATGTGGCAAATCCCATGTGTTTTTGGACCCTGACCCCGCGGATCTGCGTGAGGGGTGTCGATTTCGAGCCCCCCCAGCAATTCAGACAACGCGCCCAGGGGGTGCTAAAAAGTCCCGTTTGGGCCTCCCCCCCCCTCGCGCGGTCAATCAACTAGTTACAGTAACCAGCAAGAAGCAGAACTGTAACACTGGAAACTACAAGCTACAACTGGTACAGGAAACTGCGAATCACGGGCCTACAGCCTGGTGGCCCCACAAGGGGGCCGGCGGATTTCCAGTGCCATGCCACGGCATGCAATGCAATGCTGTGTGGTGCTCCGCTGCGCGATGCCATGCCTTCAGCTGCAATGCTAGGGTATGCAGTGCTTGACTACGCAGTGCCACGCCATGCTATGCCATGCCACGCTTTGATCTTCAACGCCATGCTATGCCATGTTCTGTTCTGTGCCGCTGTGCGATGCCATTCTTTGCGTTGCACTGCTTTGTGATGCAATTCTTCACTACGCAACGCCACGCCATGCTATGACATACTACGCTCTGCCGTGCTCTTCTACGCCCTGCTATGCCGTGCTCTGCGATGCATCGCGCACCCTCTCGGGATCATTGCCCTGCTCCACATCCGACTGTGCGAATAGAGAGGACATCTACGCCATGGAAAGGGATGGGAGGGAGGGGTAGGACGTCAGATATGAAGCGAGCGCCCCTAGCTTGCCCGCACCCCCTCCCCCTTCACCCCCCCTCCCTCTCCCTTTCTCCGCGTCCCTGTCCCCGTCCCCCTCTACGATGACTCTTTCACTTCTCCCCCCCTCTCCCTCCGGGGCGCCCGCGCGGCGTCCCTCTGGGCTGCCGATGGCGAGCGGGCCCGCTTGGCTTAGTCCTCCTCATCCCAGGACGTGGAGGGGGAAGTCGAGGAGGAGGAGAGCGGGAGGGAGGAACGGAGGGAGGGAGGGAAGGGAGGGAGGGAGGGAGGGAGGGAAGGGAGGATGAGGAGGAGGAGCCAGACCACGTGCGCCGTTTGCCCCGCACATTCCACCATCTCGTCGTCGTCGACGTCGTCGTGGTGGTCGTCGTCGTTGTCTAGGTTGTCCCCTGCGCCTCCTCCACCTCCCTTCCCCCTCCTGGTACTTCTTCTCCTCCTCCTTCATCCTCCTTATCCCTTTCCTCCTTCCCCTCCTCGCTGTCCTCCTTCTCGTCTGCGCTGGATTTCGGGTGTTTCCAACTGGAGACAGACTCAAAGTTTCGCGGAGGAGGTTGCTCCTAGTGCGAGCAGTCAGGGGCGTTACGAATTCTTGCGTTGGTTGCAACAAGCGTTTAACAGAAGCTGTAGAGTCCCATCGCAAAAAAGCCAGCATCGACGGTTCCAAGCACTTGCGAAGTGGAGCCAGCCTACTCGCGGAGCAAACGATTATTGAATTGGCAGCCGTGGTTCATAACCGAGGCAACACGATCCGTCGGGTGGCCGCGTCTAAGATATGCGGATTAATTGGCCACGTATTTCATCATCTTTGCTTGTCTCACTTTTTCCGTTCTTGATCGCATGGCGTACGGTCGCTCCGGTTATTGGAGCAGGCATGCGTACTTCCCGTCTTGTCCCGTCAGTGGTGAAACTTGACCTCATGGAGCCTCTTGGAGCCATCTTGGGGTTAGCGGCCACCACCACCACAGAGCCCAGCATCCTTAAGGACGCGTGGGCAGAAGAGTGCGCGATTGGCACCTCCTCGGGAAAACATGTCGATGCAGAAATAATGTGTGCACCCAGAGAATCAGATGTGAAGTAGCAGAACAAGAGGAGGGAGGAGGGAGGAAGAGGCGGAGGAGCAAAAGGAGCAGAGGGCGGCGAAATGGCAGACCTGCAGTCGCTCTACGCGGCCATCACGGGTGCTGGGTCAATTTGTGCATTTCTTGAGCCCATTGCTGTCTGGGTCGCCCGCGCCGTCTGCGTCTCACCCAAATCTTAGGGGTACCGTCCGGCTGACATACGACTTGCTTGACCAAGGAATTGGCCCCTCCTGAGGCGATCTTGCGATACAGGCGTATCTGCCTATCAAGCAGCAGCTGGATAGAGGTTCGGCGGCGGCCTGCTTCAGAACGTCTGCGTTGGTAACCCGCGGTATGTACCAATGCTGTATACCAAGAAGCCTCCGTAGACACCAGCAGTGAAAAGCATCCAGCCTGTTTCTGTCGGCGGACAGGAGCCAAATAGAATCAAGAGAATGCAGCAACTTGCCCAACACGCAGCTCTCGTACACCTTGAACATCTGCTTCCACCCAACTGATGTATGACCCCAAGTCTTCGCTAACTGCTTGAATCTGCTCTGTGCTTCGCCCAATCTTCTTGTCAGCTCGGGGCTCGCTCTTGCATCACACGTGATCATCCCTCCCAAGTACGCCACTTCCCGGACTGTTGCAATTTGATGTCAGTTTGGGCGCTCAATGTTACAATTCGTACAAACCTGCATCTGTAAAGTTTTGTTCCAGTTAAATTCAAGACCTTACTTCCGCCCCTCCGTGACAATGGCGTTGAGCATGCGTTGCATGTTCTTCTTGCTCTGTGTGATCAACAGCGTGAAGTCTGCATACAATACGTCGCGAGTGACCACGTAGGCGGGCTCCAGTTCGAAATCGATGGAGGCCATGATGTCGAACAGCATGACAGTCTGGACCGCGATAAACAGATAAGGAGAAAGAGGACACCCTTGAGCAATACGTGCTTGTTGCTGTTGTTCAGTGGACTTGCCCGTGTGGTCGACTATGGTGAGATACCGGGCTCTGTAAATTGCATCAACCATGGATACCATATCTGCGGGTATGCCAAAACGCCGTAACGCATCGCCCATGCTGTCAGGCTTGAGTCGGTCAAATGCTTTCGCCCAGTCCAACGAAACCAGAAGAATACCATCGTTCTTGTTCGCGAGCGAGGCGTCAATCATGCGTCTAACAATCATGAGAGCATCTGCAGTCCCACGCCCTGGGCGAAAACCAAATTGAGAGTCGCGCATGCGGGTTTCAGCACCGCCGGGAAACAGCCTGTGATGAAGCATAGAAGCCAATCTTTTCTATCCACCTGTAATAAAGATATTGGTCTATATTTTTTTGGCAATGCGATGTCTCCTTTCTTGAACCACAATGTGACATTCGCCCGCCTCCAAGATGAAGGTATTGATTTCTG